AGAATAGTTTCATGAAGAAACTAGGCGGCAAGAAAGTGAATAAGGCTAAACTGAATAAAAACATTGATCATGCAATGATAAATGTTGATCTTGTAGAAATAAAAGGACATCAAAAGAAAAAGTTATTGTGGTGAAAAGAAAACAAAGCAAGAAAGAAAATTGCCATATTAATATTTGAGCCTAACTTGGTAAAAATATAGGTATAAACATGGTGGATGGATTTGGGTGTGATCCTACTTGCTTCTTGTTTTTTAATTGACTTGATACCATCCGAATAAAATCGTGTTTTGGTCAGAGATGATTCATCTGTGTTATGCATATGATATTGGGGAATGTCTCTCAAAAGAATTTGAACGCTTGGTTAAGGATGAGATTATTAGGCCACAAAATTTATGCGTTGGTTGTGTCAAAGGACAAATGCTAAGAAACGCAATTTTGAGGCTAGTCGGTCATTTAGTTTTTAGACTATATTTATACTGACATTTATGGTCCATTTTTTATTGTAGCTCGTTTGCAGCAAAGGTATTTCATTGTCTTCATTGATTGGTTCTCAAGGTATGATTGTGTACTTAATCCACCAGAAGTCCGAAACACTTGATGTGTGTAAAATCTACTAGACTAAAGTTGAAAGTAGTTGGTATAAAGATTATGGTTTTAAGATCAAACTAAGGTGGTGAGTTTTAATAGGAGAATGATAAGGAGGGTGTAAATAGTAATATTTTTAATACATACTTAAAGAGTAGAGTATTGTGCCACAATACACCATTTCTAGTTTTCCTGAACAAAATAAAGTTGCAGAAAATAGAAAGTGTAGGAATATCTTATAGAGACATAGTTATATAATGCAGATATTAAGGAGCTTAATACTCACATTACCAATGATTATTTTATTAGACATCTTGAAAGATTAAAGAATTCGAGATTTTACTGTTCTGTAGACCTATGAAGATTATTGGAATATGTCATGCATATTTAATGAGAGTGGTGAATCCAGTGAGAGTTTAAAATATTGTAGTTTCTTTTTGCAGAAAGTTATTTTCAGCATCTATTCTATTTATTCCAGGCTTCATTCCACTTTCTTTAGTGGTTTCAGTTAAAGCTCATATTCTTACTCTTTCAGTTATTTCTCCTTTGCAAACATTTCTTTCAGTTTCCAATCTAGTTCCTAAGCCAGTTTAGCTTAGGAGATTTTCTAGAGCTAGGAAGTATGCTATAGTTGGTAATTTTGAGATGTCTGGTAGATATAAGACAAAAATTGATGGCCAAGTGCTTAAGCAAAAGTTAAATGTTGATTTCTTTGAAATTTTCTCCAGCTTAATTAAAGGATTTTTTTAAGAGTTATTCTTTCATTATCACTCAGTTATGGATTAAGTAAGTTTTAAAGCAGTAGTATCCAAAATTTTGATACAATGGTTACTAATTGTAAGTTCAAAGAGAATATTATGGATAAATGCATATACCTCAAGTTCAGTGGGAGTCATTTTGTTTTCCTTGTCCTATATGTTGATGATATTTTGCAAGGTAGCAATGACATTCATGTGATACATAATATTAAGAATTTTATGTAAAGTTTTGACATGAAGGACATGGGTATGCAAAGTATGTCATTGGCTTTAGAATCCACATAGATCATGCTACTGAAATATTTGGACTTTCTCAAAAGGCTTATATTAATTAAGTATATGAAAAATTTTAACGGTGACCAATCGTAGTAAGCCCATTGACATAAAATTCATTTTCAAGCATGAGAAAGTTAAGGTTTAAGTGACTTTAAGATTTTTCCATATGGTTACAGAAAGATTGTTACATGTCCTCTCACTAAAGGTCTTCAGCCAGAGATAATAAAGTATTTATAAAGCATGTGATTCGGATAGGTGTTCGAGAGTCATCATGTTATGATGTCCGGTATTTTTTTATATATGCTACATTACAGTTAGTTTCTTTACGCCTTGTGGTGACAGTTATTTTTCCTCCAGTTTACGCCTTATGGTGACAGTTATTTGCATCCAAAATAAAGTTATGATGCATAATTATTATTATCTTAATATAATGGTTTATGTACGTGCCATTATGTTTGGCTGGAGTGATATTTCACTCATGAGGTTGTTTGGGTTAGATGTGAGATTGACACCACATCGATAAATCCAAAATAATTATTAAAGGTTGTCTGAGAGTGATAATTCACTCATACGGTTGTTTGGGCTAGATATGAGATTGACGCCATATCGGTAAATCCAAATATAAGATTTGTCTGGGAGTGGTATTTTACTCATGAGGTTGTTTGGATTAGATGTGAGATTGACACCACATTGGTAAATCCAAACATAAATATTAAATTTTGCCTGTGGGAGTTTTTTCACACTCTATGAGGATAGCTTGGCTAGATATGGGATTGGCTTGATATCGGTAAACCCTCACACTAAACAGAAGGTTGGTAGTTTGCTGTAATATGTTCAGGTGACATACCGCGATGGTATGAAGTAGGATGGATAGCTTAGGCTAGATATGGGATTGGCTCCATATCAGTAAACCCTCACACTGATCAGAAGGTTGGCGGTTTGCTGTAATATGTTCAGGTGACATACTGCGATGGTATGAAGCAGGACGGATAGTGAGGTGTGCGTTTAGACCCCATGCAGTTTGCACATCTCATGAAATACAGTAAAACCACTATATTTGCTTAACTCCTAGATGGAATCAGTTTTGAGACCATGGAACTGTTTAGACTAATATATTACTTGTCTACGCATTCATGATCCACTATTGAGGAAATTTATGGAGGAGAGTGTTCTAAAGTTTCAATCCATAAATTTCGATAATTGTGTTTTCTAAATAAAAAATGAGTGGTCACTCGACTTTTATAAAGTGTGTTGCAATCCATAGTGTCATTTTATAAAACTTAGAGTGCATGGACCAAGTGGGAGATTGTTGGAATTTATATATATATATATTTAAATAATAAAAATTATTTTATGGTCCTATGCACTACGTTTTCTAAAGTAAGATTGTAATGTAATTATCGATACTTAATGGATTGGGTATGTACTTTCTAATTTGGTGGTCTAATTGGGAGTATGGTTTTTATACCGTTAGATTGTGGTTTTCCAACTTATTTGGTGTGATTTATTTCTAATCATTGATATCTAAGTTTCCATGATAGGAACGGAGACTTAGATATACTTGTTTGTAGAGAAGCCGTCCTCTCCTGTTGTTGTTATATATAATGGTTTTAAAACCCTTATTCAGACCTATCGTATCGATAACTTTCAGAAGAGGGTAAAACGCTCTATTCTTCCGATCTCTCAAAGGGCACTAATGAATTCTCAAAGGTATTTGCGATTTAATCATCAATCAGGTAAAAGACTAAATGTTTTATTTAATTAATTGTAATATTCTTGATTTTTACATGTGGATTATTTATTTAAAACCCAACACGAGTCTCATCTTGTCAAATGGTTAATTTTTTTTATTTTTTATTTAAAAGAAGAGTCACATCTAATGGCTATTTTACTGTTGAACACCTTTAACATTTAACTGTGAGTGCTCCATTTTGGTTGAATGGAATAAAAAAATGAATGCATAGAGAAGGAAAGATAGACGAGGATCCATCGAGAAGAGAATGTGTCTCCTTCCATTTTGTTTGGTTGAACATAAGGATGGTAGAAATGAGAGATGAGGTGGCACAATTTATTCTTTTTTCTTTTTTGGTAAGAAGGTGAAGAATGAGAGATTTTATACTATTTTTATGAATATTCCCTTATTACACATGTGAGAGAATGTTCCTGGAGTTTGATAAGTTGTTTGGTAAGTAATCAAAAGTCTAAGATTGGTATTACATATTTCTAGGGCAAGTTTATTTCTTTCCCTCCTCTCTTGGGCCCAATTTTGGAGGGATAATTTTTTTTCCAAAAACATGGGCTAGGGCTAGGGCTAGGGCTAGGGCTAGGAGGGATGCTTTATCTATACTTTTTTTTTTTTTTTTTTTTTTTTTTTTTGAGGTAAAATGCTTTATCTATAGTTGCTTCTTCTGTCTACAACAAAACAAGGAAAACTTCTTCTATCTATTCTCTCTTTTATTATTCCTCAATCCATCAAACCGAACATATCATTAATTTGTCTGCACCATTAACTTTTAGGGCTAAAATTTATTTTTGAGTAATGCTCTTAAGAGAGATCTCTCTTGGGAAGAGCCATAAACTCTTTTTATTTTTATTTTTTAGATGCATTAAATAATTGATTTGATTTTTCATACATCTCAAAAAACTGTTTCATTCAATGATTAAAACAGGAGAGCACATGGCTCTTCTCATAATAGAGACATGTTAAGAGCACAACTAGTTGACGAGGTTTTTTTTTGCATGCTGCACATATATATAAATTTCACAGGCACAAACTCAAGAGAAATTATTTCATGGTTACGGGCCCCATCAATGACTGATATGCAAGCAAAAAGTTGATACAAAATTGATGCATTTACTTATGTGTAAGTACATAACATACAAGCTAAATGTTGATACAAAATTGACATATTTACTTACGTGTAAGCACATAATTAGTTGAGACTCGGAGACAAACAGACACATTTACTTATATATAAGTACTTAACATACAAGTAAAAAGTTAATATAAAATTGACACATTTACTTACACGTAAATACATAACATGCAAGTAAAAAATTGATACAAAATTGTAAGCACATAATTAGTGAGACCCAATGACATATAATAATTTCTTCACTCTCTCTCCAAATTTTTAATAAATTATTAGATACCTAACACCATAAGCCCCATGGTGGTCCAATTCAGTCCCTAAAAATTCTTGTTTATTTTGTATTTTAATGACTCCACAATTTTTAGGTTTGTTTTTTTTTTTTTTGGGCCCCACAATTTTTAGTTGGAGAGTGTTATTAGATTGGACCATACAAATTGATCCGGTATCATTTAGTAATTTATCCAAATTTTCATCAAAGAAGGCCCAGCGAAATACCGATTCTTAGCCCATTAAAAGTCCAATTGTCCGAGCCTAGTCCATCGACTCAACACCACCATCGCGTGTGCACAAACTCTTCTCTGCAACAAAGAGCAAACCCTAACCGTAGGAACACAAGCAACCATGGTGTGCATACGCAAAGCCACCATAGACGACCTCTTGGCGATGCAAGCATGCAACCTCTTCTGCCTCCCAGAGAACTACCAAATGAAATACTACTTCTATCACATACTATCGTGGCCTCAGCTCCTATACGTTGCCGAAGACTACGGCGGCAAGATCGTGGGCTACGTGCTGGCCAAGATGGAGGAAGAGAGCTCCGAGAGTCACGGCCACATCACCTCCCTCGCCGTCCTCCGAACCCACCGCAAACTCGGTCTCGCCACCAAGCTCATGACCGCCGCACAAAACGCCATGGAACAGGTGTTCGGTGCCGATTACGTGTTGCTGCACGTGAGGAAGAGCAATCGGGCGGCGTTTAATCTGTATACGGAAACTTTGGGTTACAAGATTCATGATGTTGAGGCGAAGTACTATGCGGATGGTGAGGATGCCTATGATATGAGGAAGCAGCTGAATGGCAAGCACCACCACCACCACCACCACCATGGTGGTGGATGTTGCTCCGGTGAGGCGAAGAGTGGCCATGCAAAAGCGGAGTCTAAGACGGTGGCGGCATCGGCAGAGTGATGGTGAGAGGTAATTTGGGGTTATGGTTTAAATTTGTTTTTTTCGGATTGCTATTGTTCTTATTGTATAAGTAGCAAGTGGAAGCAAAGTAGAAATTGGGAATTTTGATAAATGTTTGTGCTTACGGTTTGGTATTCAATAATTTATGGACGTGATTTTTGAATTATGTGATTTTTATTTGTCTTAAATTGAGTTCTTTGGAATGAATTAGTGATTTATTTGTTTTATGTTGGATGGCTTTGTGATTTTGAAATCATGTGTGATTGATTACCTCTTAGGGCTTTCATTTGGCAAAATATCTGTGATTCTATGCTTCTATATCACTAGACAAACTGTGGACATGTGCCACACATGTGGTGGTTCAGATTTTAGGACAGTGGCGTGATACTTCCTGCCTAGTAGACCAAGTGTACATAATTGGACTCTTTATTTGGAACCGTTCGGGCTATTTGGGCAGAAGCAGCAGGACGAATGCTAAACTTTATAGAACTTATGTGCCATGCAATGTGGAAATATTGCCCAAGTATTACATTATGGTTGGAAGTGAATCTTTGATGCGGTTTTGATATCCAATAGTACAAATCCTTCAAGGATTTGGTTGACAGGGCCTATATATGGAGTTGTAATAGGATCTGTTTTATAAAGGGTGACTATAAACAAAAAATCCATGAGTATGTAAGTTCAGAATTTTTTTGTCTCACTTTTTGAAAAGGAAAAACAAAAACGAAAAAACAAAAAGAAATTTACAGTGATATTGGCACTGTAAATTTCGAACAATTTTTTTCTTCAAATAGATTTTGGAGCAAAAGGAATATAGTAACACAATAACATTGGAAGTCCAATTTGGGGTTAAGAATCTTATTGAGGAAGATGTCTGGGAGAAAGTGATTTATGGTGAGGTCTACTCCTGGAATTTGTTTATCATTGCTTTGCTGGCAAGCCTGGCATTCATTAGTTGATTTTTTTTTTTCTTTCTTTTGGGATTCAAAGAGTTTAGAATTTTTTTTTCCAGGGTTGGAGTTATTTTGCATTTGATTGTAGGACTGGAGTTTTCATAAAAATAATCCCTTCTAGATTCTATTGTAATTTGTAAGTAGGGGTCACTTATTAGTGAGTTATGAGTCTTATCATTGATGATAATATAATTTTTCTAGACCTTCTTGTAATTTGTAAGTAGGTGTATGGACACTAATTCTATGTTTGGTCGGAAAGAAGGATTGAGGAAGGATAGAAAAGAGGAGGGATAGAAGATTTTGCTTTGTTTGGTTGAAAAGAAGGGAAGAGAGGGAGGAGTAAGCAAGAAGGGATGAAGCATCTAACCCATGGCTTTCGATAAAAAAATCATCTATCCAAAAATGGGCGGAAGAGAGGATGGAAATAAGGAAAAGTTACCCTACAAATATGCTATACCAATTTTAACAGTTAATTACTTTCAAAATCACTTGTTAAATCCATAATAAAGGTATATATTGGCACTTAAAAAAAAGGGTATATTTGCAAAATGTAAAAAAAATTCATTTGCTTTCTTCCAACCTAACCAAAAAAAAAGAGAAAAAGGTGTCACCCCATCCATCCTTTCTACTATCCCTTCCATTCAACCAAACAAAAAGTAAGGGAGACACCTTCCATTCCCTTCCCTTCCTTAAGGATGCTTTATCCATCATTCCTTCTCTCCCTTCCAACCATTATTCTATCCCTCCAACCAAACGAAGCATAAAATTTTGAGATTGACTCATCATCGTCCGATTGGTAAGTGAGTCAAAATCGCTTGATCAAGTCAAAGTCTACGAATGCGGGTCCCACAATGGACACATGGCAAAATGTCAAGGTTTAAGCTTTTCATGGAAAGTTTGATAAATCAAGTTAAAATGCAAATTTATTTCCAAATAAACCGAGACAAAATCTCTTGATTTTGGAAATTTAGAGCAATCATGGTGAATTTTCAAATTAAACACTCAAGGGCCTATAAATACAACTATACAAGGCCACTCAACACTTTCTGGAAAAACACAGTTTTTTTTATTTTTTATTTTTTATAAGTATTTCTGGAAAAACACAGTTAAAAAAAAAAAAGAGACCGCTGAAGCTTTGCCAAAGCTCTGACTCATCCAACACTTGGGAAGTTTTGAAAACGAATAACAAGTATGTCACACAAGTGCCGTTCTTCGAAGACCTTCAACACTTAAGCTTCTGAAGAAGAAGAACAACAAGCGCGCTGCACGCCACGCTGGTGTCATTCTTCTTTAAATACCTTCTACACTCGAAGAATTTGAAGATGGAGAAGAACAAGCACGCCACATAAATGTCGTTTTTCTTTCAAGATCTTCGACCCACCGTTTGAGATGAAGCTTCGTCTGCCCTAGACAGGAAATTCAGTTAAGCCTTCTTCAATTTCAAAGATTTGAGGATAGCTCATCACCACCGGTTCAAGATCAAGCTCCCCTTACTCCGAACATCAAGGAGATTGAATTAGAGGAAGATTCCTGATGGTACAAGAATTGACCATAGAGAATTGCCATTTTCTAAAATTAATTTTATTAATTATTTGTTCATCATTTTCGTTCCTAGATTTTCGGGCATGGCATGTCCCAGTGGGAACAGTAGGTTTGTACACACAAATTTCGAGTCCCAAATCTAGGACCAAACACATGGACAGTAATAATCAAGAAATGGATACAATTTTCAGTGATTGATTCTTTTACAACAAAGAGTCTTCCTCTCATTAAATCTCCTTGGAATATCTGGTGCAAGGTCTGCAAAGAGCTTGATGTTGAAAGGATTATTGAAAGTTGTTCAAGATTGAAGAAGACTTGAACGGATTTGGGCTCGTAAAGATGATGTCCAACAATGTAATGAAGGTCTTCAAAGAAGAAACGGCACAAGAGTGGCAAGCTTGTTGTTCTTCGGCTTTAGAACTTCGAATGTTGGATTTCAATGAGTTTCATCAGTTACTTAGTATGTGTGTTAACACCCCCGCCCCGCCCCCCCCCCCACCCAAAAAAAAAAAAAAAAAAAAAAAAAAAGGTTCGGTGGCCTTGTATTTATAGGCAAAGGGTGGAGGGTTTAATTTGGAAACTGCCTAATGATTGCTCTAAATTTCCAAAATCAAAAGATATTTGTCTCTTTATTTGGAAATAAATTCGAATTTGATTTATCAAACTTTCCATGAAAAACTCGAACCTTGAGATTTTGCCATGTGTCCAGGATCTACATTTGTAGACTTTGAGTTGGTCGAGAGATTTTGACTTATTGACCAATCGGATGGTGATGAGCCAAATTCAAAATTTTAGTGTCTACAAGGTGCTCACTTATTGGTTAGTTATGAGTCCTATGACTGATTATAAAGTATTTTACTTTTCTAGTTTTTTTTTAATAATCTGATTTGCCGCACAACAATTCAGTATTAATGATTATATTTTAACTATGCAATTGAATATTAAGTTTGAATTATTTTGGTATTTTGATGTTGTGCAATTGATATGATGCAAAATGCTGTTTGTATTTAAGTATTTGAAGATACTCTATGGCATGCTATTTTCACTGAAGGTGTGAATGACATCTATTGAAGTGCATAAAATATGGAAGTAGTATGAGATGCTAAGCTGTGAAGACATTAGTCATACTAGCTTTTTATGGTCCAAGGACAGCAGAAAAATGTGTTTTATGGATTTTTTGCTGATCCGAGCAAAAAGGGCAAAGGGAAGGTTGGACAGAGGTTTACCTTGTACTAAATCCCAAATCTTAGGAGGAAGAAGCTATACTTTTCTGCTTTCTTTGGCCTCTAGGGCCTGTATGATCCAGATTGCCAAATCGTCATGGGAAACTCACTGTACACCCCTCCCTCTCCCAGACATTCTTTATTCAATCCTGATATGCAAGTTTTCTGTTGGAGTGAATTCTATAGTCTACCTATTTCCAAGCCAAAATTTAAATGATCAATTGTGAAAATCTTGATGGGGTTACCATCATCCGGATAACGCCACCTCTGGAAACTCACTGTACACCCCTCCCTCCCCAGCAGACATTCTATATTTCTTCCATATCCATGTAAAGGGTGGCTAATATAGTGCAGGGAAATCATCTGACCATCTGAGCAGGAATAGTTGTTTTCCGTAACCCAGCAAACTGGCAGGTCATTTTTTGTTTTTGTTTTTGTGGGATGGTGGTTCTTTTTTTTTCTCCCTAGTTTGGTAAAATGAGCTATGGGCTCGAACCAACCCTCACCTCCCATTTGGAAAGGAGAGGTTATACCAGGTGGTGTTTCCATGGGAACTTGTCAGTCCCTCAGCTTGTGTCTTTCTCCACTCCCATGGTTTTTTAGGGTATTAATTCTTTCCATTCAGTTTGAGAAACTATAAATTGGTCTGGAAAAAATTTAAACTGTTTGAAATTGCTGGCCTCTCTGTACTAAATACAGGTTGCAATGAGGTTCCAACAAAATGTTTGGCTTCTGGCAAAGCACAGTCTATTTCAAACTAGTTAGATGAAATGCGTCACATTCTCTTTGTTCAAGTAAACATGCCACCCTACTTGGGTGGCTCAGCAAGCTGATATTGTTTATCCTGGTAAGAGAATACCATTAGCATATCTTTTGGGTCTAAAGTCTTAATTGTTTGAGTCTATACCTCGAATAGCCTGTTGGAGAATTTACAAACCTATCAGGTTAGACTTTAGATGGTGTCATGTTTGTCTCTTAATCTATATATCAGGGGTTTAGTCGCTTTGTTGCCTTTGTATATCTGGGGCTTAGTCAGGCTGACACTCTTAATTGCCTAAAAAATTCCAAAGCAAATAAAAGGTTTTAGAAAATCTTTGAAGTTGTTTGGGACCTCACATCTAACTCGGGAAAAGGCTTTAGAATTTTCCATGTGCAAAATCCATGTAATTGGATGATTTTCAATTGTATAATTCAATAGCTTTATTTTGCTTTTCCTTTCTCCTATGAGAAACCATCCATATGATAACATTTTAACCTGGTGTGTAGAAGTTTGGCAGCGATAAGGTCAATTCTGATTCTCATTTTAATCTTCTATAATAACTATTAATTTTCGGGAAATGAAGGTTACGCTGTTTAATTGGCGATCCATCGTAAGATACTAAGAGCGATGGTGGGTTGTTGGTAACACACAAATTGTGTGTGATTTGTGACATAGAGAGAGAGATGAGGAATGCTTTGAGCTATCTGTCCAATGCACGGGTAGCTCAATTGGTAAGGCCTTTGGAGGTATTTTCCTTGGGGTCTTTGGTTTGAGTCTCATCGAAGGTGGTTGAAATGATGCGCGTGGTTTTTTTGGTGATTGTGTGCGTTCTTAGTTTGCAAACTATCCAAAAGTCTAAATTGGCTAACGAATGGGTAGATTCTTTGTTACTTAAAAAAAAGATCTATCCAATCTTATCCGTCTCACATTCCATATAAAATTCATTTCTTCGATAATGGATGGAAACTGAATAACCATCACTGGAATGACTATTCAAAGCGCTGTGCCTAATGACCTTAATGGAATTGTAGATTGCTAACTACGCGTAGCAAAGTGAGGTAGACCCTACAATCAAATAGAAATTAATCATACAAAATTGCGTTACTTTTTGATTTTTGTGTTTTAAGGGAATTATTCACGGGGTAATTGGATGATGAGTCACCCCAAGATATCAACAAAAACCTGAACCCACTTTTCTTCTCCAATCACTCGTATCTCTTAGGTCATTTTCAACCCTATTTACCTTTTGATAAGTGTTCAACTCTATGTCTTCTGATAAGTGGAGGCCCCACTGGTCAATTATAGTTATTAAAAGAAAATACATGAACACCAGCAACTTTAAGGAAATTTTCATAAACTGAAGTACAAATTTTCAAAGATAAGATGGTATGCAATTGTCCCAGTTGTTGTCCTCGTAGTTCCTCTAGTACTGTTGTAACTTATAACTGATTTCTCTTTCAAGTGGTTGGGCGATATGTAGGTGAAGATGAGGGAAAAGAGTGGTTCGGCTTGGTCAGACTTCATTTTTTCAGCAATTTCAGTTGTATCAGCATCATCATTGTCATCCTTGCCTTTTATCCCATGTGAATGGGGTTGGCCACATGAATTCTCCTTTTCCAATTTTTCCTATTATACACTATGTTTCTTCTTAAGATTTAATATTCTAAAATATTTTTTAGTTACTTTATCCCTTGTAAGTTTTGGCCGGCCTTTTTGTCGTTTACCTTCAACAATTTTCAGTTGTATTGGAATATAAATTCCATGACATTTAAGTTGAATTGCTCTTTTGCAAATTGGCTATGTGGAACTCGCAATTGGCTTTTATCTTGAGGTAAACAGACACATTTAAATGACCAGGACTTATGGCAGCACAAATGATAATATTATTAAGGCCAACACTTCCCGTGGTTCTTATAATTTTTACTCATGACTGCAATTATTCACTCAAAGTGGGTTCAATGTATATATTCTTTCTCTGTGCATGTAACAAGCTGAAGTGGGTAGACCTAGAACACCACAACTGAAGGTGGTTTACTCTGAAGCAGAAATACTATGTATTAAGCTTTACAAATGCATTTAAATGCTCAGACTACAGGCGTATTCCTGCAACACACCCAAATAAAGGTTCCTTATATGTGTTTCCCTGTCGCATAAACTGTTGTTTCATTCATGCCATTTTTGGCATGTTTAGACACATCCAGTGACTGACTTATGAAGAACTCAGTGGGGACAGCCGACCCCACTGATATTTATTTATTTATTTAAATTACCTATAAAATTTATGAAAATCTTAAAAATGCCTCCTCAAAATTTCTGATGGTACGTTGTTCAAGGCGCCCCCTCTCATATAATTCTCTGGGTCTGTCACTGGACACATCTTTCTTGTATGACAGTATTGGATTAAGAGAATTTGTTTTGTTCTTTAATCTTGATAAGAGGTAAGGTGGGAAGCAATTTGTTCCATGATTTTTACATAATCAGTTTAATGTACTGCACATATTCCTTTTTGCAGAATGCATCTTGGGCCAGTGACATGCTCATCATTGAGTGATGATCGGTTGATTATTAGTGGTTCCTCAACTGGTGGTATCACAATATAAGGTCTTTCAACTGGTCAGCGGGTAGCTACCCTAAGGTCAAGTGATTCAGCCGGTTTTATGACATTCCTTCTCTGTGATAGTTTTAATTGTAATTGCATATCTGCTATGCTTATACTTTGTTTCAAATATACACACACACGCATAATATGTACCCTTTCCTCCATCTCATATTGTATGCCATTTCTTCCCAGTTGCCAGCATTATGAATTCACATTCAAGTGAAAACTAGAAGCTTTGAAAGAATTCAAATTCAATTAAGAAGGCAATTAATATTTTTTACAACAGTATGTAGTTTTGTTTTTTGAAGTGAATATCTATTCCGGGCATTTGTAAAAAAATACAAAAAAATAGATAAATTATATAGATCTGTGGAGTTTTGCATCTTTAAATAAGAAAGAGAAGAATCCTATATGTAGAAATCGATGACACGAAGCATGCAGATGAGGAAATTTTCCAAGGAAATTAAAGGAAGGGATACTAACTCGATGCACCAGCTATAACTTAAACCCCACACACACAAAGGACTTGTAGCGGGTAAAAGTGGCTCCTTGATGAACAATCAAAGAAGCACCACTTCTGGCTTCTAAAATTTAGTTGGCAGTCTTTGATTCTTACCAGTCATGATATGGCTAGTTTTCTCTCTCTTTTCCCCTATTTGTGGTTATAAAAATAGTGGACACAGTGCAAACACACCCAATATAGCACATTTTTTGACCTTGGGACCAATATTTGATACCTCTTATACACGTTAGAGGGAATATTTCTTCTCTTTCTTGCTTCATTTAGGCATTGCTCAAGAGTTGCATCGGTTGGGCTTGCGGAGTTGCCATGTTTTCATCGTCCTGTTATGTTTATATAATAAAATTTATATTTGTTTATTTATTTCTGATGTGTGTGGGTGTGTGTGTGTGTTTTTTTTTTTTGGTAAATAATATATTTGTGATGAATCGCTTCCTCAAATCTAGTATATATTCTTCTGTTCATATTGAATATTTAACATTCTTCATCAATCGATAAAAGTCTAGAGTTCCTTTACAATAAGGTTTTGTAGATTTTTGGTGTTTCTTGTAAATCTATATTGTGGGATGGATATCTGGTTGTAGCTGGGTATTTGCTAAAACATATGAAGGCATTGTATATTGTGATAACATGGTATGATTTGTTTTTCAACTTCTCGTTACAGGGCATTAGGACCTTGTATTTCAACTCTTCTTCTCATTTACTGTTTGATGGATCAACTGCAGGATATGCTTCTTGTTGGACCTTAGGTATGCTTAACTGATAAAAACTATGCATGCTATTTCATGGAATCGAGTTCTCTTAAGAGCTAATTTTGTTGCAAAACCATTATCTCAAACTAATGCCTAGATGCATATTATTGCTAATTCTGAAAATGAAACTATGCTAAATAAGCAGTATATTTGATTTATCCTCTATTGCCTAATATTTACAATGACTAAGCGTTGAGGAAATTGTTTTTGTGGGGACTGAGGAGGTATTTAAACATGCAATCAAGGTGTTAGCCTTAAGATTAATCTTCATTGCTCATAGAAAGCGAAATTTAGTAATATGCTTATCTGAACTTGGTAAATTCTAGCTAATTTTATTCAAGTCTTTGCTGTCTGATAGTTTCTGAAGTTTCTTGATGATTGTTATGCTGGATGAGTTGTAAATTTGGCAAGTTGACCTTGTTCCGTTACATTGCCGGACAATGAGAAATCTTTGGGAGACGCAATGTTTTATATTCTATGCATCACCTGCAAATTGATAGATCAACAACATTAGTTACTGGTGGAATAGATGGTGTGGTTCATGTATTGGATGAGAACACGGGTGAAGTATATCCATGGTGCATTTTGTATGGAAGTAAAAGGTGTGTATGGAGTCACTGAACGGAAGCTAGTGCAGCAGATGCCCCCATTGATCTCATTCCTGGAACTTGTCGACCTCCGATCAGGTGCTTGGCTGTTGGAATGCAGAAGGTTCTCATCGCACACAATGGCAAGTGCATCAGAATAAGGAAATTCAAAGCATAATCAGTATCACCTCTTCTGGTGCGGATTTGTGATCAATGAAGTTTAAAGATGACGGACAACCATTGGAAGAAAAAACAGCAAGAAGAAATAAGATATGAATAGTGACTAAAAGTTTTCAAATGATTTATGTTTACTGGCCAGTCTTCTTATCAGTTGTATTACCCATAACTTGTATTTTTTCGTATTCCGTATATGCATTATTGTCAAATTTATGTCACCTCTCTATTATGGTTAAATTAGTAAAATGATTCATATTATAATTTAGTTCACTAAAAACCTAGCTTCTGCCGCATTTATTGTGGAAGTGTTCTGCAGCTACTGCCAAACACGTTCATTATCACACTATAAATAGTGCAAAAGCCATAGTGACGTAAATTAAATTAAATATGTGGCTGAAGTCATTTGATGACTTCATTATTAAATAGAGATTGATCAATCAGATTAGTGTATATATATATATATATATATATATATATTTATTTATTTATTGTAAGAGATCAAGTGTACTTGCTAGTTCCATAATAAAAATTCAATCCATAACTCGAGAAAATTGGGATCTGAACACTTAAACCACTATGCATTCTCAGCATAGTTTTGTGCAAGGCACAAAATATGTATCTCATTCAGCGTTTTTTTGATCGATACCATCAGAATTAAAATTCTTTTCCATTCCATTATTAACCTTTTGCCACATTAATCTTGAATACATGCAGTAGTAGTGTTTTGCAGCTACTTTCAAACCGATCATGATCACAACATTGAACGAGATCAAATAATGTACATCAAATACACATGATAAAAATCAATTCAATCCATAACCCAAAAGAAAATTGTGATTGGAAACACCATTTACTTCTTCATTTTAAAGTTTATGAACAGAGAAAATTGATCACTGTGCTGATCGAACAACTTTAATCAAACAGATTAATTATATACATGTACGTTTGAAAGAATCTAAGTATACACATTAGTATACAACATGAAACTAAAAATCAATTCAGTCCAAAACCCTAGCTTGGGGCAACTGCATGAACACCCTTTAGCTGTTGATTGATTAAAAGAGAACTGATCAACTCTGCGTCGTGCCGGTTGTTGAAGGGATGGAGTTGAACAAGTTTAGAAGCTTTTTTCAAAGATGATGGCAGTGGCTGGTGTTCAACCATAAATGGATGATTTAAGAGCATCTTTGCAGTCCATCTCTCACTTGGCTCCCTCACTAGACACCTTATCAAGAAGTCGGTGGCGTTGGCAGAAAATCCCTCTGGTATCTCCGGCTCTTCTTCTCCTCCGAAACCAATCTCAAAGAGCAGATCATTCAAATCTCCATCAATATTACTCCATACCGGCTTTCCGGTGAGCATCTCCACCATAACGCAGCCGAGAGACCAAATGTCCATTGGTGCTTCATTCAAGCCTAATGCAACTGACTCCGGCGATGTGTAGAGAGGTGTCCCTCGATAATCATCAAGCCCACCACTCACATATATATCACCCTTTCCAGCCCTCTTCGCCAGTCCAAAATCAGCTATCTTAACAAGATTATTTTCGACCCCACATCGACATGGTACTGATGATGTAGGAAACACAAGGATATTAGCGGGCTTGATATCACAGTGAACAAACCCTTTCTCATGAATGTAATGCAGTCCTTTAAGGATCATTCGGCTGTAAACCCTAACTTCTGGTTCTGACAACTTGCCGCCGCGTTTCTTGATCAGGTCTTCCAAGGTGCCTCCCGGTGCATATTCCAGGAAAAGATTGTAATATTTTTCATCTTTTGCAATCATCTCCTCGAATCCAAAACAACGAATGATCTCCGGACAACCTTTCAGAATCTGTAGAATGATTTTTTCTCGTTGCAGCGAGGCCGATTTTGAGAAAACCGATGATTTAATGGCGATGGGTGGAAGGGTAGGGAAGGTTGCAAGGTACACAATACCGTACGTTCCACTGCCAAGAACCTTCTCTATCTTCCACTGTGTCGCCATTGATGGAGTGAATCGAAGGTTCTTGCCCGGGATAAGTTGATATATATATAATGCAATGTATATATATATATCTTAGTTTCCTAATTGATATATATATATATATATATATATATATATATATATAGTGGTTTCCTTAATTGGCCGGGACCGACTTGATACTTCGAGATTAAGTTATAAGGAAATTAATTGTTTTGTCTGGAAAAAAAATCATCTCTGATTTATCTCTGTTAGATATATTATGTTTTTGACAGGACAAAAAATAATAATAATACTAAACAAAAACTAAAGAAGTAAATAAGGTTTAAAAAAAAAAGAAAAAAGAAGAAGTTAAATTTATAGTATAAAGGGTATTTGTTGTATTTTAAAATAAGAAATGATGCATTAATTATTTTATAAATTTTTTTGTCATTTTCTCTAACACAAAAAGGCAAGTGAAGTACAAGTGTAGAAAAAATGAAGTTCCTCTTTCTTTTTTTGAGATTATCAAAATTATGTTTTTTATCGTTTTTTCAGTCTAAAGCACAAATATGGATCTATCCCTAATACCTGAATTCTTGTAGTGTAATTTGTGTTTCTTACGAAACTCAAATATATATGCAAATTTCCATTATTTAGTATGCAACAATAATATAACTCAAAAAGGAAGAGCAAAGTAGGGATGCATGAATGTTAACTCATATATATGGATTTAAGTGAATATAGTTGTGGTATTTGATGGAACCGTATTCGTTGAAAGGAGGGGAGTTGTGGAAGCTTGTTGATTTTTTACAACCGAGTTTTTATGGTGAGTTTTGCCTCTCCTAAAAAGTCTACGTTCAACCTTTGCATACCCTAGAAACACAATTTATTTTATTTTTAAAAAATCCTGCATTTGTCTTAACACAATTAAAACCTATAGCAACAACATCAATCTCAAAATCCGACACCAAGTTTCACATAAAACCAAATAAAAAAAAACTGATAAGTAATGAGAATAGATTTAAGATATAAGTAAATATTTGGTGCATATGATAAAATATGTGACTCCACAAAGTATATATTTACCATGCAGGAGATGAAACAAGAAGTTTGCTGATTACCCAATTGTACGTTATCCATTGACGAAAGCTTGAAAGGAAGGTTGATGGCTTTGATGGTGTAAGAATATTAGGGTTTTCTTTTGGAAAGTATATTAGGGTTTTAGTTTCCTAATTGGATTACAAAGACCTATAATGATACAATAGTGATGACGTGGAGATTAAGCTACTTCAACTATCACAACTTTATTTATTTATTACCAAAGTCTTCTAGCCTAGTAAGTAACACCTAACATGTTCCCAAAAAAAAAAAAAAAAAAACTTCATTTATTTATTAGGGAGCCATATTCATAATCCACTTTACTTCAATTTTTTTCTTTTAAATAAATGACATAAAAGTCCCTAAATTTATTAATACATCATCTTCTTAATTTTTTTTTTTTTTACATTCTTTATTTACTCTAATACTTTCTTTTTTCTTTTATTTTTATTTTTATTTTTCTGTGAGAAGAAATTTACTCAGTTGAAATTACTAGCATGATGGATTAGTGTTAAACTCAGTTATCACTATTCATCAAAGCAAAATTAGAGAACAAAAGGGTAAAAAAAATATCGGAGACAAAATTGTGTGTAAGAGAGACTAATAAGATCTAGCCAAAGATTTAATTTGGCTTTTATGGTACTTTGATTGCAATTATTGTGTATCATTAGATGAAGGATGCTGCAGCTGTTATCCTGGAAAAAATTGAAATCAGTGCTACCACATGAGGGATTATTGTCTCAACCGGATTAATGTTTATTCCTCATAATTTTTTTTATTTTTTTTTATTTTTTAGGCGGGGAGAAAGTATAGACCGGGAAAAAAAAATAGTTTTATTTATTTAGTTATTGGTTGAGAATTTATTTATTTGTGTTAATGTGTCTTATGTGATAATTATTTTTAGTAGGTAATGATGCAATTAAATTTTATAATAATAATAATAATGAATTAGAAAGAAAATAAGAGAAAATAAAAGAGAATTGAATAATGTATATAGGTTATATATGTATACTCTGTGCCCAGGTAATGTTGTTTGATATTTTGAGGACAAATTTTTTTTTTAAGGCGGGGAGGATGTAGAGACCAGGAAATTTTATTTATTTAGTTATTGGTTGAGAATTTATTTATTTGTGTTAATATGTCTTCATGTGATAATAATTTTTAGCAATTAATGATGCAATTAAATTTTATAATAATAATAATAATGAATTAGAAAGGAAATAAGAGAAAATAAAAGAGAACTGAATAATGTATATAGGTTATATATGTATACTATTGTGCCCAAGTAATTTTTTTTTTTTTTTTAAGTTAAAGGGTAAGCATTTGTATTAATATCTAAAAGAATATACATAAGGTCCAAGTAGGGCAACAGCAACTGCCATAGGCAGGAAGCAAGCCCAGAGGCTCAATACAAGCAAGCTCAAAACAGTAGCATTGGACACATTAGTGATAGAGAAATGAGGATTAGCAAAGCAGTCCCTTGAGTTGTGATAAATGCTGTAACAACAACATTTAGTCATAGGCAAGAGAATGAGCATTGGCAAAGCAGCAACCCTTAGTGAATAGCTTCTGTAAGTCCTCCACTTTATCAATTTTTCTCAAGTCATTTGCTTTTCTAACGCTGATTGAAGCAAGCCTTTCTCTAATACACTTTTTGATGAGATTAATGATGTAGGGAGGAGAAGATGAAGTGTTTCTGAAAGCTCTGTTGTTTTTTTCCATCCAAATGAAGTAAAGTGCAGCAGAGAGTAACAACCTAGCTATGTAAAATAAAACCTTTTGATCTCCAGTTAGCTGAGCACCACAAGATCAAATCAGTCCAGTTTGGTGGTTAATTGAATATAGAATCCTGCCGAGTGTTGAACAATGGTCCAGATCTCCTTTGAGAACTTGCATTGAAAGAATAAGTGATCAGGTGATTCATTATTGGCCAAGCAGAGAAAACAAGCATTTGTGTGGTTTGTGCATCATTGATTTCCTGTCAAGTGTGCTTAACCTACCTTTTATGGCAAGCCAAGCAATGAAACTATGCTTGGGGATATGGTGTTTGAACCATATGATATGGTACCAAGGGAAGATGAAAGTGGGAGGAAGGACGTATCTACATGTATGAGCAAGAGAGAAATTATCATTTGGTGAGGGCAACCAAATGATTGAATCTGTTTCCTTTGATGGAGTTGGTAGCTCTTGGAGTTGTGAATGGAAATTTTGTGATT